GTTCACTTACGTAGTACTTTTGTGAGTGAGCAAGGAGTTACCTAAGGAATATTCCATTACTCCCACACTAGAGGGATGAAACATCAGAAATTCATCCCTATATGTTCATCGAAGTGGGCCATCATCAGTCTTGTTCCCGCTGTCAGCTGTACATAGGTGAACGGACCATGAAATTCATTGATAAGGTGCATTCGTCACTGACCTGATCGAATTCGGCGAACTTCCCTGGCCTGAAGAATACTTTAGTTTGACCGAACTTGTAATCGACATTATTTAGGCCAAGGGCATGGAAGAGGCACTGAAATGTAATACAATTCAGGTTGAGAGAGGTCTGATGAAGGAAAAGCTTGTGTTCACCAATCTATTGATGGATTATTCGTAGTACTTACTTTGCAGAAAAGCCTTGGATCGAGTCGTGCCAGGTCTGGAGGCAACTGGCGTCGATACATTTCGTAAAGATCGGCGAATGATGTCCTAAACAAAAATTTTGGTTTTTTTTCTATCTCTTAATTTACCTGCAGGAAATTTGCAAGATGATTTACAGCTTTATCAAGAGCTGTTAAAAGGGAGGTCTGTTAGATATAACTGTACCTCGAAGGGAATCCTTTTTGCATCAATTTCAGTACGCTGGCCATTCCAGCACATTTCAACTGGGACAGTATGGCTGCTCCGTCACAAATTCCGGCGCTCATCGTTGAATTCGGTTTGACACAACGCACAAAGTGTGTACCCTGTAAAGGGATAGTATGGATGGACTGAAAACAACTCCCATCAAGTCTTGACATAAGAAATCTCTTTTTTTAGCCTTCCATTTCGGTATAGCTTTCATTTACCCACCAATTTTGAGAGCCCGAACAAGGAACCCGATAAATCGTTTAGCAAGACTTCTATTTCAACAAGTTTTTAAGATTTCAATGACCCTCCTCTTACCTTTTCACTCAGAAATGCTACGATCCATATAAAAGTAAGCAAAGTAGCATCGAAATAAGTAGATACAAATAAAAATGAAAAATTCATACCGTTTCCCGTAATTTCTCCAATAAAATCGCAAGTTGACTTCGGAACTTCCCTCCGACGGTGGCCGCTTGAAGACGTCCGCTGCCTGATCGACGTCCAGGTGCCGGTTCAGGGGCATGACTACCCTCGAACAGATTGCGAATGAACGGCACACTGAAATAGTAGAATAGTGAGCCATCGTTTATAGAGTAGTCTTCTCACAAAATTCAGTTTAATCACTGACTTCAACTCTACAGCGAAATGCTGTGATTCATTTCCAAAGGCACAGTACACGATAAAAATGGTTTGTGGGATTTCCTAAGGATGGTAGGACGAAACTGTGGCCCTAGCACGCCTAGCAGGTAACACGTGAGAGAGACGATTTCTGATCAAAAAATAAATTCGGCAGGGCAATATGAGAGCCTCATGATCGGCTTGGCCGAGTTTCACTCAAAACTGTCTGGGTTATGACGATCTTGTTGAGCCTGCACCATTCAAAATGAAGCGATGGGACGCCGACGAATAGCACGCCTATGTAAGTGAGCCCAGACGGTCACAGACACACAATGTCGTGGAACGCCTTTCTCACACTAGGACGAGGATTCAGTCCGTCGCTCGTC